AGTCAGTTTCAACTTACAGCGAGCCTGGTTTGAGCTGCTGATCTTGTGGTGCAGTCCAGTGCTGATCCTATAGCACCACACCAGGAGTTCAAGGTAGATAATACATATGATAAATTATAGTGAAAGGAAACACATCCTGTGGAACTGTGGAAGATGCTGATTTTCAAAGGGACTCTGCCCAGGAGACATCAAGGCAAGTGGTTGGGTCCTCTCAATGCAAATCCTCTTCCAAGACCAAGACACAATGGAAATACATGCTCTGATTGGTGACCACACACGTCACCCATAAGGAGAAGTGACCAAAGAACATCAATGAAGCGGCAAGCTATGCCCTGCATCGCTCAGCAGACTACTGTGAACCTGGGTGGAGACCTGGTCGGCCAGCAGCTAGGCAAGACCTGGGGACTCATGGGCTCAGAGTCAGTGACACAACCACAGAGGACTAGAGTGGAGAGCAAAGTGACCAGCTGATAAGAAGAGGGTGGACAGACGCAAGAACACCCACACTTGCAGATGATACCCACTTGACCTGGCTTCAATGACTGGATGAACAGAGCTCAACCCGAAGAAGAAAGAAGAGGAAAAAAAAAAAGCGTCATCTGATACAACTTGATGAACTTGACCTGTACCTATAAATGCAGTAGCTCAAAAGAGGAAACAATCCCGGCTCCAAGAATTATCCCCACCCCCTCCGCACAAAGAGTAGATAGGGATGGGCAACTTGAACATTGGCTACCCAAAATGGAGGGAGGGATACAAAGATAAGAAGTGACTGGCTTACAAGCTTTCAAGAAGGAACCTAGATGGACAGGGCGGGGAGGATGGTAGAGTCTCCAGCGAGTAGTATCCAACCTGTCCAGGAAGGGCTGATGAAACGAAATGCAGATGGGTCCCTTGTGATGCAATGGTGAATAATTGTTACCAGGACTGATTATGAGGCCTGGAAATGTAAAGGCGGATATTTTATAGCAAGGAGGGGATTGATTAACCTTTCAGTCTAGGAGCGGAGGGCCCTGGGACCATCAATGGAGAAGAGCGGAGAGTGGGACCCCACCCAGAGAAGCAGTGAGGCCTGAGATGGAGACAGAGAGGATAACGTGAAGAGATGGAGTGGCTGGGGACTTGAGATCCAGAGAGGGAAAGGGGCTGTGTGCTGAGGACCGTGGGGGCGGGGGCAGGGTTGCAGGGTATACCCTTTGGTTGGGTGATGATGCATAGATGGAATGGTAACTATGGCAATGAAATGATGTATGACAGAATGAATGTAAAACTAATGTTCCCCCATGTAAACTATCACACAACACACAAGAAAACATTTATTTAATAAAATAAAGGGACTCTGATAGCTTCTATTTCCAAAGGTTAGATAGAATCTGACTCCTCTTTCCTTACCCCAGTTGTCTACCTCCTCTGCTAATTTCTACTTTTAGCCAAAATTTTTCAACTTTCAGCAAAAAAGGAATGTGAAAATCACATTGAATTGATCATTCTAAAACTGGTTAGAATCAATACATATGAAAACTATGAGGACGTAGGGCAAGGAGTTCTAGTAGAGTAGTGGTTACGAATTGGGCTGCTAATATCATGGTCAGCAGTTCGAAACTAGCAACTGTTCCATGGGAGAAGATGAGGCTTTCTGCTCTCATAGAGATTTATAGCCTCGGAAACCTTGTACAGGGTCGCTATGAGTTGGAACTGACTCCACGGCACATAACCACAACAACAAGGGCAATTTTCAAAGTAAACTAGAAGGAACGCTATCCCGTCAGTAGTCCATTTAACCACTAGGAAAATGTATCACACAGGGATTTCCAATTCCTTAAAAGACTACACAGGAATGTGATATGACAAAGATATATTATTAGATGGTTAAATTTTTCCATAAGCATCAAATTCTACTTTCCACTCTTCACAAAGTTGCTATTGATCACAAGGCAGGTTTTCACTTAACATCTTTGGAACCACGCAGTTAAGTGGAAAAGTCCAAGACAACTTTTGGATCACTTTAATCGACAGAATGGAATTATACAGATGAATTTAAAAATAAAATCAATGCATTAAATGAGTAAGATCTAACATGAAAGTACCTACCCCTCACAATGAGAATATGATCAGATGGAGAAAGGCAAGAGTCTAAACCAGAGAGTGGAGAAGTGCATGTGAAGGAGAGAGGAAGGGCTCTGGGACTGAATTGTCAAGATACACTCAGCTAATGCCTTCAACTTTCAGATTCCCCAGGTCCTGATTGATGGTTTAGGACAAATGTAGTATTTGGTCATAAAGAGCAACAGTAGCTATCTGTTGTGTCAGGACTGGGTGACTGTAGACACCCGACACTATGATGATGAGGTAGGGGGTAGAGGGTTATGAGGCCATGAGAGCTCTCAGGAGGGTCTGTGTTCTTGTGTGCCTGGTGCCAATGACAACACAGCAAAGTACTACAAAAAACTTACTCAATTTACAAATTGCTAGTTTTTGTTGAAGAGCTGGAATAGCTACAGGAAGGGCTCCATGAAAAAGATCCAGCTGGTTATGGAGAAATACACATTCAAAGCACTGTAATTAACTATGGTTCTGCGCTCAAGAGTTGGTAGAGGAGAGGAGTTCTTTCTGGTTGACTTGCAGAAGATGATCAGAGCATTCAGTTCTCTAGAAAGTTCTATTAGTCTTGATCTTGTCCCTAAAAGAAATAACAGAAATAAACTCCATGAGCTTAGGAGTATACCCGCCTTAGTTTAACGAGAACTCATTCAGAGCATTTAGTTATAGTGATACTTCAAAAACTCTTGTCTGATATCAGGATTATTTTCTATAGTTTCTACAGAAAAAGGGATTGCCATTTAATCACTTATATGTACCGGACAGCAGTTCTTTACACACAGTTAAAAACCTTATTCAAAATGGGGACTGACTGCTAATGAGTATGAGGTTCCTTTTTGATGGTTGTTGTTAAGTGCCATTGAGTTGGTTCCGACTCATAGCAACCCTATACAAGGGGTTTTCCAAGGAGCAGTTGGTGGGCGTGAACTGCTGACCTTATGGTTCACAGTCCAGTGCTAATCCTACAGTGCCACACCAGGAGGACCCATACCCATTAGCACTTCTAAATTTAGAAAATGCTCTAAAGTTAATAGTAATGAGGGTTATACAACATTGTCAACATACTCAAAACCATTGAATTGTACACTTTTATAAGGGTGAGTTTTGTGGCATGTGAATTACATATCAATATAAAATGGGTTTTAAAAAAATGGATTACAAAATGAATTTTCTTAGAACTTCTCATATATAACCATCTAGTGAATATATCATACCGACTATTTCCGCCAAATTTCCATCATTTATCCTATTTGCATAATTTAACAATTTTGTCACGCTAAGAATTTTAGAATTTAAAAAATGCTTTATGCTGAAAATGTGTTTTTCAATAATATGTTAGAAATTAAGATTCAGACCTAATTATAGTTATATGCAACCTAAGCTAGTCAGTTTTTTAATTGCCTTTAAAGCAATATTCAATTAAAGCAGTCTTTTTCCAACCTAAATGGATCTCATTCATTGTTTATAAAAACGGCTTCTCCAACACTCCAGTGATCCTATCAGAGCAACAGCTTGAATGAACTGGTCACATTGATATGCAATATGCTACTTCACTTAACACCCAGTCTGAAAATGGAATCAAGGGAAACTGATTCAGTCTCAAGGCAATTTAGTTCATCTTGGCTGGGGTGGGGGGTAGGGGTTATTCACATAAACCAAACTTTTCTAAATTTCATCATCTGAATCGGATGGCCAATCTAGCAATATTGTATATAGATCCATTTTATATAATACTGTATAAAAACTCAAACAACGCATCAGCAAAGATACCCCTTATACCATTCATCAGAAAAGACCACTGTTACTAAACAGACATAAAATTGTAAAGCTGTATAAAATGTGGTTGTATATAAATACATAAATCTGTTTCATTATATTAGGGATGGTAAGAATCAAGGTTTTCAAGGTAAAGAGAAATATTATCAATTTAAATATATTCCGAAGAAACATGGCAATGTTAAAATAGAACTGAAAATATCAGGTGAAAATATATTGATATGGAAAGGTGGAGATGGTCCATTGCAATAAAAGCAGTTTATACAAACATAATGAAAAGTATTTGCCTCATTTTGGAAAAAATGATATAGCAGGAGGATGCTTAACTATCTGTATAAATTCATATAATGAAACTCTTTAACAGTGGTCATTTCTGGGTTGTGGAAATGCAGGGGTTCTTCTCTTTTGCTTGTTTGTATCTTCTAATTATTTATGATTCTCATACACTACTATTATATTAAGGAGCCCTGGTAGCATAGTGGGTTATGTGTTGGACTGCTAACCACAAGATCAGCAGTTCAAGTCCACCAGCTGCTCCTCGGGAGAAAGATGAGGCTTTCTGTTCTTGTAAAGATTTACAGTCTTGGAAACCCTATATATAGGGGTGCTATCAGTTGGAACTGCACCACCACAGCTTTTGTATTAATAAAGCTATTTAATTAACCAAATAAACAAAATCCTTACTGCTACTAGTAGACTTGGAGTTTAAGGGTTGTCAGAAGGAAAAAAAAAAAAAAAGGAAACCAAAGACTCTTATAACTATAAAACTGTGAAACTTGTTATTTTGCAAATAACTGATCGTTTTAACTTCTGAATCTATTTTCTCAGCTTCAACCCACAGAATTTCTCTAATTCTTCTGTAAATCCCCATGAACTTCTTAAATAAAATTCATGACAGGCCAAACTCTTGTTCATTGCTGTTGATACCTTCAACAGTTGTATGGTGTGAGGATTCTAGAACATGCGACACATTACTCTGGCTACCCAATTCTTGCCATCCTACCTGTCTGGGGTGAAAAGCCTGTGCTAATCTTTCTTTCTCTAGGAATCACTTTGCTTTTTCAATGATAAAACTGCAAAGACGATGTGGCTGAAAGATGCTAGTCAACCATCTGCCTGGCTGGTCTATTCTGGGAAAACAGGTATTTTACAATGGAAACCCAGGTGGTACATTACTGCTTAGCCTTGTATTTTGAAGCATCTCTGGGTTCACTACTAGGGTTGCTCCAATCATCAGCTTCAGGTGTGGTCTTGTAATGGCGCCATGCTGACTTATTGAAAACCGGAAGTCTCTCAAATGATTCACTTGAAAGAGCCTATTGGGAAAACAAAACAAAACAAAAAAACAACACAGCAAAGGTCCACATTGTTATTTATCTCACATAAAATACAACCCAAATTTTACTATTTAAAAACTTTAAAACCCCAAACTCAACACACTGTAATTCCAGCTCCCAGTGACCCTATCGGCAGAATACAGCTGTCCTATATAAGGTTTCAAGGCGGGAATCTTTATGGAAGCTGACTGCCACAGCTTTCAACTGTGGAGCGACTGATGCGGTCAAATGGCCACTGTGTCATCAGGGTTCCTTTTAAAAAGTCTGAAACCCTAATACTTACTTTTGAGCTTGTAATTATATTATACTTTAGTAGTCAACTTAGATTGGCCAGGAGAAAATTAAAGCATTTTTTAAAAAATGCTGAAGTACATGACCAGAAAAAAAATGCATTTTAATTCAGTTAATACTGCTTTGGGATACTCAGCTGTCTTGACTATATGGTCTTAGACCAAGCACCATTATTCACTGGGCAATTATTCTCCCAAAGGGTCTGTGGAGCTGCTCATTGGAAACCCTATACAGGGTTGGCATGAGCCGGAATGGACTCAGTGGCACTTAACAGCAACAACATGTGAACTGATATGGAAAGATGACCAAGATATATTGGCAAGTTAAACAAAAAAAAAAAGCAAGGTGCTGGCACTAACGTTTGTGTGAAAGTAATTATATAACTATATGGTTACGAATCGGTCTGCTAACCAGCTGTTCCGCGGGAGAAAGATGAGGCTTTCTGTTCCTGTAAAGATTTACAGCCTTGGAAACTCCGTACAGGGTCACTTTGAGACGGAACCGACCCCATGGCACGTAACAACATAGTTATAAAGGAGCTTTGGTAGCGTAGTGGTTACGAATCGGGTTGCTAACCTCAAGGTCGGTAGTTCAAAACTACCAGCTATTCCATGGGAGAAAGATGAGGCTCTCTGTTCCTGTAAAGATTTACAGCCTTGGAAACCCTGTGCAGGGTCACTATGAGTCGGAACCGACTCCACGGTACTTAACAACAACAACAATACTAATATAGGCAGAATCAACTCTCAAAGGGCCCCCAAGAATCTCAGAGCCGTGGTTACCTCTGAAAAAGCCAATTAGGAAAGAGAACTGGTGACAATGATGGGAGAGACTTAAATTGTCCTTTCTGCAGTTTTTAACAGTGTACTATGTGTCTATCTGAGCCCTGGTGTGGTGCTGTAAAATTAAGTACTGGACTGCTAACCACAAGATCAGCAGTTCAAACCCACTAGTCACTCCTCAGAAACACTATACAGGGTTACTATGCGTCAGAACTGACTTGATGGCACACAACAACAACAGCAAATTCACCAAAGACAAGGGGGCTTCAAAACGTTCATGAAAAAATAATGACATGTTTCACAAATTTTTTGCAGCCCCCTCAAATTCTAGGAATGAAAGTTTAACATCCCCAATGACTGAGAAAAACTGTGACAGAGAATCCATCTTTTCTTATAAGCATACTATGATCACTGAATTTTTGTAACTTTGGGAAAGCCAGTGAATTTTTAAAGCAAAAGACTACAGACTTCCATTTATTTTTAAACTCAGCCCCTTTAATGGATATCCAAGTTTTAAAAATCACAACTTAGCATTATGGCTCTAAAATCAATATTTTAATACTTTATTCCATATGCATGTATGTCATGTTTTTGTTCTCTGAGTATAAGATTGAGATAGCATGGTTTTCACACAAAACTGCAGTAAATCTGAGCAGAATGTAAGAGAAGATATAGTACTATTCTCACTTAATTCCAGGATTTACAAGCTTTCATACTAACAGAAACAGACTGTGGTACCTTCAAATAAATGACGGCATCAGTGCCCACTCCTTCCATGGAATACAGTTTCAGATCTCCTTGAAAATATCTAGCATACAGACGAGAAATTGGCAAACCATAACCAAATCCAGCCTAGTGAGAAAAGCAAATGAATCCAGTTAAGACAGGTGCAAATACTAACATATTTGGTACAGGGTTATTCAGAGAAGACTGAATAAATTCTGGATTCAGATTTAAATAAAAAACATTACTGACTTTACTTTTACAATGGTAGATATATTTTTAGTGAGGGTAACGATCCTTTTCTTTTCACTCCTGATATGTCCGGAAAGTAACAAGAATACTTCAAATTCTGACTGTTTTGTTTTGTTTTCTATCAAGTGAGATTTGATCTGGTATCAAAACGAAACCACATCACTTTCAAGTTTCACAATCTGATTGCTTTGTTTTTTGAAAGGGAAAATTAAATGAGTAGCCCAAGAGTTCAAATCAACCAGCAATAAGGCAAAGACATTGAAAAGAAAACAATTTCCTAAGCAGCTACTTCCTAGGTTTCTGGGAATATAGGTCAATACTTTGATATACTGCAGTCCATACAGGTTAGAGACAAGAAAAACATTCCAGTACTCTCCTAGATCTCTACAGAACACTGACTATCAATAACAGGTATTACAACAAAACAAAAGACACTTCTCAGATATTGAGAAGAATTTTAGGGAAAAGTGTGATCTCCAGTGTCTGAGGATCAATAGGAGTTAGCTAGGTGAACATTTCCCCAAATGAAATAAATTATGTGTCACGGCCAAAACCCCAAACCAAACCTGCTGCTATCGAGTCTTTAACAATTCATAGTGGCACGGAGGGTATAAGAGTACGTTTGGTAAAGAGATTGTTTCTAGGAGCAGTATTTGCATGCTCACTTTAAAGTTGAGAGAGGGAGATTACTAACTGGAAGAGACGCTAATGGAATCATTCCTTCAAAAGGAGAAGCCCCACATGGTATACTGGACAGAACACAGAGCTGCCATTAATTAATTAGTCTAACCACTTTGGGCAAGATACAAACCTCTCTTGGCCTCCATTTCACTTCCTTATCTATAAAATGAGAGGTTGGATACATAATTTTTTAAGGGCCCTTACTTCAATTCCTCAGTTTTATTCAACAACAGCAAAAACAGTATGATATAACAGCTATCCTCAGGATGCTATTTTGAGACCTGGAATAGACAATCCTTATTCCTATTAATCAACTGGAAAAGGCTCTGGATTTGTTTGTAGTGTCTTTTTTTTTACTTTTGACTTTTTTTAAGTAGGTACCAGAATATGGCCAATGCACTGCCTTTCAGAATTGGATCTCTCATAAAATTTCCTGAATCCTACCGATATAAACGACTTCCTATCTGTTTCAACATGCTGAGTTAACCAACTCTGCCTAGAATGAATGAGGCCAAGTGTTTGATTTGTATTCATACAAATAAAAACCTGCTCTTAGGTGCTTATCATTTAGGTAGGACTTTAGAGTGAAGCTTAATTTATACCCTGAACCATTTTGTAGACTGATACATATGTTGCTGTGTTTAATGACAAAGGGCTCAATTGTTGTTTGTCAATTAGAAACGCTCAGCAGGGGAAGAAAGTGTGGCCCTACAAGGCTCTAAATGCTACCATGGTAACAAAAGGTTTCCCTACTGCCTTCAGAGGGCTGGGGGTGATTTCAAGAGTGAGATGGAAAGGGCTCTGAAAATGCAGATACCAACTATATACATTGTAAAATGCTTTTACAAGGGAATATTTTAACTATATCAACAATTTGATGGTGGAAGTTCAGAGGCTGCGGGTGATGTTGGCCTCTATGATACGCCGTGCCCAAGTGTCCAGGACCAAGATGCAGCCATCAACTGGGTTGTGTTCTTTTTCTCACCTGCTATTACACTTCCAAAGGAGCTCTATTAGCATAGTGGTTACGAGTCAAACTGCTAACCTCATGGTCAGCAGTTCGAAACTACCAGCTGTTTCTGCCGGAGCAAGATGAGACTTTCTGCTCCCATAAAGATTTCCAGCCTCAGAAACCCTATGCAGGGTTGCTATGAGTCGGAACTGACTCCATGGCACACCACCACCACCACCAGGAGCCCTTGGCTGGCATAAAGGGTGAAGTGCTTGACTGCTAACCAAAAGGCTGGCAGTTCAGACCCACCTAGAAATATCTTGGAAGAAAAGTCTGGAGAACTGCTTCTGAAAGGTCATAGCCTTGGAAACCCTATGGAGCAGTTTCACTCTGACACACACGAATCACAATTGATGACAATGAAATTATTTTTTTTTAAGTTTACTAACATCCTCTGCCTCCCTAAGGTGGCGCTCGGAGGTATAAATGGTGTTCCAGCACCTATTTTATCAAAGTGAAGTATTTTCTCTCTGTATCAGGAATGAGGTGTTTCTTTCTGTGGGTGTTTCTTAGATAAGAATTAGAGAAGAAATTGAAGTACAAAAGAATCACAAAGAAAAGTAACAGAGGCATAAGACTCTACTTCTCCAAATCACACAGGAAATCTTCTAATTCAATGAGGGTAGCACAATAACCTGGGAGGATAACCAGCATGTTACCAATATTCCCTTAAGTAGTAGTTACGCTGCTTACCAGAGGGGCTGCTCTTGTAGGCTCCAGGCTAGGTCTGGGAGCAGTTGAATACATATAATTAAACAGACGATCGATTTTTCGAAGTGGGACACCACCACCTTGGTCACTTATCTGCAATGTATAAAATGTTTAAAACAGTTTTAAGTAAATACATACTTTGTAGGAGACAATGACCTCATTAAATAAAGTACACACCAGATAACTCTGAACGACCCAATGAAATATGGCTCGTTTATGAATCATGAAGGAGTCTGGTAGGAAAAGTGCTGGACTGTTAAACTGCAAGATCAGCAGTGCAAACTCACCAGCCACTCTAAGGACCTTAAAGATGAGGCTTTCTGCTTCCAGAAAGACTTACAGCCTCAGAAACCCTATACAGGGTCACTAAGATTTGGAATCGCCTCCATGGCAATGGGGTTTTGTGACCCATGAAGTCTCAACCTTAGTTCCCTGCATAATGGAGTTCTAATGAGGTTGAAGGGGACAATGGCTGCTCAGTGGTAAGATTCTCGCCTTCCAGTCAGGAGACCCAGGTTCAATTCCTGGCCAATGCATATCATACACAGCCAGCACCCATCTGTCAGTGGAGGCTTGTGTGTTGCTATGATGCTGAACACGTTTCAGGGGAGCTTCCAGACTAAAATGCAGTAGGAAGAAAGGCCTGGTAATATACTTCTGAAAATCAGCCAATAAAAATTCAGTGGATGACAAGGGTTTGATGTACAGCTGGTCATAAGGATGACACAGTGTTTTGTTCCATTTTGTTCATGTCACCATGAGTTAGGGACCAAAATATGGCAACCAATAGAACAACAATGAAGCTGAAATGAGGTCATAAAAGTCAAGGATCTAGCATGATATTTTCAAATAAGACAGTCAATAAATAAAGATCAATTTTCTTACCTTGTCTCTAGTGCCTAGGCACTTATTAAATTAACTGGTAAGTATAAATGCAAATAAAGCCATCACCTTAATGGATAAGTCTTCTTTACCCAAAGTAACAAGGGTTTTCACAGCCGGGTAGCCTTCTTTGCTATCTTCATGCAATTCCACTGTTGCTCTCATTGAGTTCTAAAACGGTAAGACCTTTGTTCTCAGCATACTACTGACTCAATACAATTTTTAAAAAGAAGCGAACATCAGATTACTTACACTAACACACAATTCTTTCATGGAGGCAAATATTAGTTGCCTTTCTATGACAAGTTCCTCCCTCCAAAAAGCTTAGCTAAACATGTCTTAAGATCCAGGAAAAAATCCTGACACTTCATTTTATTTTTCATCTAGTTGTAGCCCCATCCGCCATGCTAAATATTTCTTTTTCTTTCATTCTTTTTGGTTTTGTTTTTTGTTTTTGCTTTAGGGTATTTAAATGATTCAACTCTACACGCGAGAGGGATGTTTTTTTATCACATGTAATGAGGCTGCAGAAGCTGATTTTTGCACTTTAAAAATCCTATTTACCAGTCTGCATTTATAGAGAGCACCTTTCCTCTAAAGACGGCAGAGAGACTGAAAAGATTCAGGCTTCCCATAAAAATTAATCATTTGGCTGAAAAAAAGAGTAGATGACATATCAGTTTAAAAGAAATTCAGAAAAAGCCACAGCTGTTGAGGAGAAAGTTCACAATTGAATGCCCAGCTCAACCTTAAAGTGTTACATCAGTAACATTATAATTTTTGGAAGCAAATCAGCATAACTGATTTTTCAGGTGCTCAATTTAGGGTTTTACACATTGGAAGAGATGAAATTTTAGTTCAAACATCTTGTGCCTGTAATACTGCTACTGCAAATGCCTTTAACTACTGGTTAACAAAGCAACAGCTTATGTTGTACAGTCTAAAGGGTCTTTCTTGTCTTTGTCCGGTTTTGGTCCAGCTCTTTCACGTGTCTCCTTTCTGCCTCTGTCAGTACACCTGAATTGATTCAAATTGTGGAAAGAGCTGGCAGTACCTGTCAGGACTAGAATAATTACGAATGCATCCACATGTTTAATGCTCAGTAGCATAAATATGCACAAATAGGTTTTTATTTTGATCTGGCTATCAACAATAAAGCCTTTTCCAGGTTTGAAAACTAAAAAGCATCTCTAATCTCATAACTGAAGAAAAAAACCAGTATGGATTTTACATAAAATCACTGAAGCACAATTATGTCTCAAAATCAATATGTACTAATATTCACAAAAACTATACTGTACACAGCAATTTTTCATCTCACAGTGTACAAATTATAAAACCCACAGGATATCAGAAATAGAATTTTTAAAATGGTTATGCAAAACCTTTTTCTTATGCTAATCTAATGAATCCATTATGCTCTGAATCAAAGTAATTTAAAATGAAGACTTCTTTCCATGTTTTTAAATTCCACTTACCTTGAACAACTCAAATAGCATGTGAAACAGATGTGAGGGCACATAAACTACCTGAATAGGTTTGTCTGGAGCTTTGGCTGAAAACAGAGACAAAACCATCAATGAATAAGGAGTCAAACTAGAAGTCACGGATGACTCTGACATTCCATTTCCCAAGTACATATATTAAAAAAACATAACAAAACAACTGTATAAAAGACTAAAGTTTCCACTGCTAAAGGCAGAGCTAAGAAAAAAAGCATATATATCTTAGAATCCAACAAAATTGGATGGAAATTCCACTTCCTTTACTGACCAGCTGTATGACATGATTCAGGACAAATTATACAACCTCTTTGAAAGTTAGGTTTCCTCCTAGGCAGAACTGGAATGCTATCACCTATGACATAATATATATATTCTAAGACTTATATTAGTTTACCCACGTGTCACTCAATGTTTCCCAAATTGGGGAGTGCTCTTGGCCACTGACTGCAGCGGGAGGCTTGGGGATTGTGGAGTCACAGGAGAAGAGGGGTGCAGCTTCTTGGTGAACTGGAGTAATCAGCAACATTACGATATTAAATTATTTATCAAGAAGGCACATTATAGAGCAGAATGTAAGGTTCATATAACTTTTCCTGTTAGCAACTAGCAAAGTCCCAGTGACCTCTGGTCCTTTGTCCTTGTATCAGAGATCCCCTGAGGAAAACCTGAGAAACACCAAGTTCCATGTCAAGCACTAAGAACAGCGTGGGGTATTGAGTAGGTGCTCGAAAGTTTAGTCCTTCCTCCTCCTCATGACCCGAAGTCACTTAGGAGATTGAAAGAAACTATATGAACTCTCTCAACTATAATGCACACATACCCACCCATGTTATAATTTCAACTTAACTACTTTCTTGACTAAAGTAATTCACAATAACATAGAGGTAATTTTGATACATACAGAGGTATGTTTGATACATACTGGAAACTGGCTTTATAATGTAGGGGACGAAATAGGTTTTAGAGAGGCTATGTCATTTGCTTACAATAGCAGAAGAGGTGCTGAAGCTGGGCATCTGAACCACGATCTGATCTTGTGGTTCTGAAGCCCAAACCTTCTGATGAGCAGCTATTTTAAAAATTATAAATCATATATGCAAATGGTTTAAATTTTTTAAAAGAAAAAAGCAAAAGTCTTTCTGCCCTTTCCCATTTCACCCCTCGGGCCCATACCCACTAAAGCATACACCTTTACTACTATTTATGCTTGAGCTCTTCTGGTTGATAATACTTACATTCTGCCCAGTAACCTCAATTAAGTACTTAGTGCTTTGCCTATAAGTTCTTTGAAAAATCATTCACGTTAGTATTGGTAATATGAGAATTAGGGAAATGCTGGTCACTGCACAGTGGTCACCACAGAGTCCCAGGACAACATCTCCTTTCCTATGAGTCTAATGGCAAGATTCATGTGTTATTAGAAACAGAATGTTCTAAGCTTTAAGGTAAAATGGATTCTCTTTATACTCCTCCAACTGCTTGAAATTATGCTAATCTTTTTAGATTTACTAATATTTGGACTGTGTCTTTCTTACAGAGTTTTGAAATTTTCCTAGAGTTTCTAAGTACCTCTCTGTAGTAGGTTGAATAGTGGCCCTCAGTACCTGTGAATATGACCTTATTTGGAAACAGTTTTTACAGAAGTAATTAAAGACTATCTAGTATTTAGAGTGGACCCTAAAATCAATGACATCTGTTCTTATAGGAGTCCTGGTGGGTTAATGCACTGGGCTGCAAAGTTGGTTGAACCACAAAGTCGGTGGTTCATGCTCACCAGCTGCTCCTCAGAAACCCTATACAGGGTCGTTATGGGTAGGAACTGACTCGATGGCACATCACAACAACAACAGCTGTCCTTATAAAAGAAAGCAGAGGGAGACATAGAGACACAGGTGAAGGCCATGTGAAGATGGAGCAAAGATCGGAACGACGGGTCTATAAGCCAAAGAACTAATGGGATGGAAGAGAGGCATGTAACAGTTTCTCCCTCAGAGCCTTCAGAAGCTAACCAACCAATCCTGAAGCTAACAGAGACTATTAAATGTCTATTGGTTTAAGCCATCCAAAACCCATGACTGTCCAGTTAATTCCAACTCTATGTGACAGAACAGAACTGCCCCCTAGGCTTCCTATCTTTTCTCCCATGGAGCCATTGGTGGGTGCTAACCCCAGATTTTTCCATTAGCAGCCGAGTGCTTAACCACTGCTATGCCAGTGCTCCTTGAAGCGACCAGTTTGTGGCAATTTGGCTGTCAGTCCTAAGAAACTAACACAACCTCCTTTTGGAAAGCTGGGACAGGAAACATGCTTTCTTCACAATATCACTAAGAGCATCCAGCTTCTTACTCTCTTGCATGGGTATACATGCCATTCTTTAAGATTTTTCCAATTAGAACCAATTGCTTTCTAGGCATGCTTCACAGTCATCTTGAAAATTTTGAACTGAAGTTCTAGAATGTTTTTCATTAATTCTTATTTCCAAATTATATATACTGACAAGTCAGGCAGGTAACTGTCTCAGAAAGACGTGCATGGGAGATTCATTTCTCATTCTTATGATTCCTTTGTTTGAAGGTTTGGCTAGAATTCTAATCATTTTCCCTCGGAATTAAAAGAAAATCCTCTGGCAATGATATAGCTGAGGTGACTTCATGCTGCTGGCTTTCTCCCGAGGTCTGCCATGACTTAAGAATAAAGAGCCCTCTTGATCATGAAAGGTAGCTGGGGTTCTACTGCACTCAGGGGCTCTCTCCTAAATGCAGCTCTGTATCCATGCTCCAGACGTTCCAACAGGCTCTAGGACGGACATGTAGTCTCTGACTAGAGGGTCCCCAGATGCTGCAATGAAGGGAACTTTACTTTGGTATACCAAAGCAACCCTCACATGAAAATCCTAGTCTTCCCAGGTACTTTTGAAGAGAGTATTTTTATTTTTACCCAGAGGAAATGTCTGTGGCTGGCTGTAGGCAGAGCACAGCCAGAGTCAACCAGCTCACCATCATCCCTCCTTAAGTGCTTCCTTAGACAAGTTCTCAATTAGTCCCAGCCTTTTGGCTCCACCTTCTTATTTCAGTCCTTGGGACCTCCCAGTCCTGCTCCCGGAGTCCCTCTGCAGTTTGGTGGTGGTGGTAAGTGCTGTTGAGCCAGTCCTGACTCACAGCAATACTGTATAGGGTTTCTGGGGAGTGGTTGGTGGGTTTGAACCACCAACCTTGTGGTTAGCAGTCCAGTGCTTGTCCTGCAGCAATGCACCATAATGCCACAGTTTAAACTTTGGCAAATCAAGTGTCATTTCTGCTGTAGCCTCCCCTTTGTGGCTTCTTCTACATTGTCCCAAGAATCAGACTACTTCCATCTGGTGACCATCTCTCAGGAGCTGGGAATGGTGGCCCACCGATGAGGTCTTCCCCTAATTCCTCCTTTTCCTCTGCTGGCTATCTTCCTCTTCCTTTAATATGATTTTCACAGGGCCTGAAGAGCATGCTGAGTACAGAGTCTATTTTGTACCCACCAACTTCTGAAGTCAAATTTTTCACTCCATAGTTCAGGGAAAAACTAATGTTAAAGTATCTCTTATCGGTTTTTTTTTTTTTTTTTTTTTAAATTCAACATTTTCTAGAAGGCATTCGAAGGCTCAATTACATACACATTTCTTTGGGAACATTATAGCTTAGATTTTCTTGCATTCCTTTTTAAGACCATGACAAATGTTTTTGTCCATGAATTTTCTCTAATCCTGGGCACAGTGGCTGTTAAGTAGTAGACCCTTAATGGGTGTTTGTTTACTTTCTAAAGCTAGACATACATGGGATGTGAATTTTCTATCTAAGGCCACATTTTAAAAAGTCAATGGAAAAATCGTTCAGGTTTTTATGCTTATGACTCAATAAACAATAGTCTCTACTTTGTGCGGAGTCCTGGGTTAATGCGCCAGACTGCAAAGCCGTTTGAACTGCAAGGTCGGCAGTTCAAGCTCACCAGCTGCTCCTCAGAAACCCTATTCAGGGTCGCTATGGGTTGGAACCGACTCAATGGTACTTAACAACAACAACAACAACTTTGTGTAGTCAAGCTACAATATCATTAGTTGAAGTTCTCCTATTAAGAATAAAAAGGAAAAAATGAAGATAAAACAGTAAAAATGCACTTAAGATTTAAGGTGGCTGTGTACTTAAAGATGGCCAATCAATTCCCAAAGACTGTTAGAGATGCCATTTAGTGTGGCTCACACAGGCCTGAATCAAGTTCAGAGTCTGGCATTTAATGGATGTAGTAATAGTTACTTAACCCCTCTGGATCTCAAATGCAATCAAGATGCATTTATAATTATTGGTGATTGGAATGTGAAGGTTGGAAACAAAGAGGAAACATCACTAGTTGGGAAATATGACCTTGGTGATAGAGATGATGCTGGAGATCAGATGAAAAACTTTTCAAGACCAGTGACTTATTTATTGCAAATACCTTTTTTAAACAACATAAAAGGTGACTTTTATACATATGGACCTCGCCCGGATAGGAGACACAGGAATCACACTGATTACATCTGTGACAAGACACAGTGGAAAAGCTCATGAGCCAGTGGTTGACAGTGGAACAGATCATCAACTGCCCATATGCAAGTTCAGGCTGAAGCTGAAGAAAATTTTTTAAAAAAATCCATGAGAACCAAAATATGACCTTGAACGTATCTCACCTGAATTTAGAGACCATCTCAAGAACAGATTTGATGTATTAGACACGAATGACCTAAGACCAGAAGAGCGGTAGGATGACATCAAGAACATACAGGAAGAAAACAAATGGTCATTACACAGACAGGAAAGAAAGAAAACACCAAAATGGGTATCAGAAGAGACTTTGAAATTTGCTCTCCAGTGTAGAGATGCTAAAGCAAATAGAAGAAATGAGGAAGTCAGAGAGGTGAATAGAAATTTTAAAATGGCAACTTGAAAAGAAAAAGTCAAGTATTATAAATGATTGTGCAGAAACCTGGAGTTACAAAACCCAAAGGGAAGAATATGCTCAACATTTCTCAAGCTGAAAGATCTGAAGAAAAAAAAAAAAAAAATCCAAGCCTTTATTTGTAATATTGAAGGATTCCATGGACAAAATATTGAATGATGCAGAAATCATCAAAAGAAGATGGAAGGAATACACAATCACTGTACCAAAAAGAATTTGCTGATTTTCAACCAATTATACTGAAGGAAGAAATCAAAGTTGCACTGAAGGTATTGGTGAAAAACAAGGAAGGCTACAGGAATTGATGGAATACAAATTGAAATCTTTCAACAAACTGATACAGCACTGAAGGCACTTACTCATCTATACCAAGAAATGTGGAAGAGAGCTATCTAGACAACTGATTGGAAGAGATCCATATTCCAGAGAGGTGACTCATTGAAATGTGGATATCATCAAACAATATAATTAATATACATGGAAAATTTAGCTAAAGACAATTCAAAAAAGGCTGCAACAGTGTATCTACAGAGAACTGCCAGAAATTCAAGCCAGATGCAGAAGAGTACATGGGACGAAGGATATCATTACTGGTGTCAGAAAGATCATGATTGAAAGCAGAGAGTATCAGAAAGGTATCTATTTACTTGTGCTTTATTGGTATGCAAAGGCTTTTGATTGTGTGGATCATGGCAAACTATGGATAACCCTGCAAAGAATGAGTATACCAGAACACTTAATTGTTCTCATGAGAAACCTGTACTTAGACCAAGAGGCAGTCGACCAGAATAAGGGGATACTATATATGTTTCGTTCTGCTGTGCATGAGGTCGCCATGAGTTGGTACCGACTCGATGGCACCTAACAACAGCAATATGTGGTTTAAAATCAGGAAAGGTGTGCATTAGAGTTGCATTCTTTTATCATACTTATTCAATTTGTATGATGAGCAAATAATCTGAGAAGCTGGATTATATGAAGAAGAATGTGGCATCAGGATAAGAGGAAGACTCATTAACAACCTGTACTATGCAGATGATACAACCTTACTTGCTGAAAGTGAAGTGGACTTAGAAGACTGATGAAGATCAAGACCCACAGCCTTCACTATGGATTATACCTCGATGTAAAGAAAGCAAAATCCTCACGACCAAACCAGTAAATAACATCAAGGTAAATGGAGAAAAGATTAAGTTGTCACAGACTTCATTTTGCTTGGATCTACAATCAACACTCATGGAAGTAGCAGCCAAGAAAGCAAACGATGTATTGCATTAGGCAAATCTGCTACACAAGACTTATTTTAAGTGCTCAAGAGCAAAGATTAACTTAAGGACTAAGGAAGGTGTGTCTGACCCAAGCCATGGTATTTTTCAAGAGCCTCATATAGATGTGACAGTTGGACAATGAATAAGGAAGACTAGACGAATTGATGCATTTGAGTTATGAAGATGGAGAAGAATATTACAAGTATTTGTATTAGAAGAAGTACAGCCAGAATGCTCCTTAGAAGCCAGGATAGTGAGACTTCATCTGCCACACTTTAGACATGTTATCAGGAGGGACCAGTCCCTGGAGAAGGACATCATGGTTGGTAAAGTGGAGGGTCAGCGAACAAGAGGATGCACCCCACGGAGATGGACTGGCATAGTGTCAGGAGCAATGGGCTCTACTGTAACAACAATCGTAAGGATGGTACAAGACCAGGCAGAATTTCATTCTGTTGTGTCCACAAAGTTGCTATGAGTTGGAACTGACTCAATGACACCTAAAAACAACATCCCCATACATTAAATACTCCTCCAAAGCATTATTTTGAATGGCTGCATAGTATTCTAACTTGAGTGTATCATAATTTAAATAATCCTCTATTGTGGGAAACTTGGGTGGTCTTCTAGTTTTTCTCTATAAGACAGCCAGTGTGATCATCATTCTCACACATGGTGGTGATGGTTAGGTGTCATGGAGTTGGTTTCGACTCACAGTGACCCTGCATAGGGGTTCTGAGGCTGTATATCTTTACGGAAGCAGAAAACCTCATCTTTCTCCCATGGAACCTCTGGTAGTTTCGAACTGCTGATCTTGAGGTTCGCAGCCCAACTCATAACCACTGTGCCACTAGAGCTCCTTATATAAATGTCTTTAAGTCTCTCTTGTCGCATAATAAATTTTTTGAAGTTCATAATCAAATAATATGATCATTGTTAATTTACTAGAACAAAGAGAAAGAGCTTTGTTAATAGTTTTTAGAAAGGCTGTCTAATTTAAATTTATGCCAGAAATGTATGTATATCAGTAAGAGAGTATTTTTCTGGGTACCAATTCAATTAAAATATTTTAATCACTGACATTATGAAAGATAAAAATGGCATTTCTCTGTGAGTTTTTCTGTACTTCCTTGATTAGAAAAACTAAACAATTTTCCATATGTTTACTGACTTTGCATTTATTATTTTGAGAAAAGTTTTTTTGTTGTTTTTAACCATTGTGCATTTTCTACCTTGATTACTCTTGTTCCAAGAACTTTGGGTTCTAATGCATTACAAATTCCTACACAAGAACTCCTTACAATAATACATACATAATAGATACAGTTTTTAAAAGACATAAAATGTTAAAAAGCAGCATGATTTTAGGACCTCGTTAAATATAGAACAGGTATAATCAGTTCTTAAGGCAACATTTAAGGTTAAAATTATCTTTTTTTTACCATTGAATTCTTCAACTTCCAGCTCTGGAGCTACCAAGTAATACTGTTCACACAGCATCTTGGCTGTTTCATATGCATCTACAAAGAAAGAAAAAAGTTTAGCTTGAAATTGTTTTTTAATTTAAAAATAATAATGTAGTCACTAAAACACAGTCACAAAACCCCAAAACCAAATCCGTTGCCGTGGAGTTGACTCAGACTCACAGAGGTTCTTTAAGGCAGAGTAAAACCGCCTCATAGTTTCCCAGGTAAGAAACCATTATGGAATGGAAGCGCTTCCTCATCTTTCTCCTGTGGGCCATCACGTGAACTCAAATCACCAACCTTTTGATTAGCAGCCAAACACTCAATCGCTGTGCACAAACATGTACTTATCATATATAAAACAGTTTAATAGAGGAAACACAGAAAGACCACTTCTAAATTAAGACCTTAAAATTAAAACCTTTTTTTTTTGGGGGGGGGAGGGGGACTTTAATAGAATTACTATGACTACACCAAATTTTTCCTTACTCTGAATTTTTAATGACCACAATACTGTCTCAATATTAAAATCCTGGATTGATAACAATATACCCAAGTTAAACCCACTGTCACCATGTCATTGCTGCCTCCCAGAGGCCCTGTACGGTGAGTAGAACTGCTCTTTATGGTTTGAATTGTTGACCTTTCCGTTAGTAGCCCAATGCTCAATTCACTGCATCATCAGAGCTCCTTAACATGCATACAGCTAACTCTATGACAAGTTTGTAGTCCTGAGGTAGCACTTTAGGGTAAGCACTGGACTACTTACCACAAGGACAGTGGTTCAAACTCACTAGTCGCTATTTGGAAACCCTATACAGAGTCACTGTAAGTCAAAACCAACTTGACGACGCATAACAACTTAACAATGTCAAGTGTACATTTAGTTTTAAATACTCCAAAAAATTTTTTTTCATGAAAAATCTATGAACTCAAGACTATTTCTGAACACCTGGAAACTACTAAATAATAGCAAAAAAGGTATTTGTTGTAATTTTTAAAATAATTTTTTAAAAAATGCCAAGTCTTAGGATTTGCCAGAATTATCTGTAAACTAATTATCAGTAAATATTTGCTGAGTGAATGAGTTTCCATGAGCCACACATTATTATATATAACACAAGTTATTATAGAAAACATTGTATCTACTTCTCACTTGCTGACTATCTTGTTATCTGACATTTCACATTTCATAGTAAAAAACTACTATCCGACTATTTCCAAGAGATTTGGAAATTAATGCTGTACATGTGGCAGCAGTGAATCCCAGGGTGCAAGGGGGGAGTAGTGCTGGCTGTGGTGTGTCATGTGTCATCTCGGCTGGGCCAAGATTCTCAGTGGTTTCGCAGTCACGGAAAGGTGATGGGTTGGGGCTATTATTTATCAAAGTACAAGGAGCAACGCTGTGCCTGTGAAGATGATCATTAAATATTCCTTGGTTTGAGAAATTTAAAACCTTTTGATAATTAACATTTAAAAAACACCTTTGTTGTTAAGCGCTGTCGAGTCAGTTCAGACCCATAGCGACCCTTTCTAGGGTTTCCAAGGAGCCACTGGTGAGATTAAACCAACAACCTTGCAGTTCAAATGGTTTTGCATTCTGGCGCATTAACCCACAGCGCCACACCTTTGGAGAGATATAATCCACATGAATTATATAAAGTGTACAAGTCAAGGTTTTTAGTATATTTGCAGAGTTGAACATCCATCACCACAGTAAATGTTTTTTCTGTAAAAGGAAGCCTTGTTGTTCCCATTTGGCCCATGGTTTGGGAGAGGGGGGTCCAGGATGGTGTCAATGCTGCCTCTGAGGCTGGAGGGAGGGGTGCACGCAGAAGGTCTGAGGACGGCAAGGGGAGGCAGAGGCCTTCACAGGTTGCTGGGCACGCAATGTTACAGGGTGAACCCTCTTGAAGAGATACTGCCTAGCCCCACTTGGGAGCTGGCCAGCCTGTGGAGGTTGGTCTCCTCATAGAGAAAATGTTTCTCCAGAAAGTCATCGAGGTGGGGGGTCTGTGTGTACAGATCCAGAAGGGACTGGTTCAGGTTCTTCTCCAGGAGCAGGGAAGCTTCCATGGAGTCCAAGGTTCTATCCCACTCATCTTAGGGGAAGCGTCTGCAAGTCCTGGAAGAGGACACAGTTGCAGTGCTGGGTTTGCAGCTTCAAGAGACTCCTGGGCTTCTCGCTCGCCAGCTTGCAGAAGAAGTGTTCCTTCCAAGGCTACACTGCTGCGATCGAAACAGAAACCCGGAAAGAGGTATGTGCAAAGAGGCCCAAAGATGCAGGTTGACACAGTCTTCACCTCAGCAGAATAACTCTATAGATCTGAGAGCTCATGGTTGATCAAGGATTTGGAGCTAACCACTAAGTAGAGTATTTAGTTGGTCCTGGTAACAGGGGGTGGCCAAGACGATGGTCCTAATGGTTGGACCTGGAGAGGAGGTTAGAGGGTGGTCCAAGGCTGGAGGTGGGGAGTCCTGGCATCTGCTTTGTCCAAACACTGTTGAAGCAAGAGTCAGATCCATGGAACCACTGGGCAAACTTCACCACCACAATCAATTTTACATTTTCAGCACTTCAAAAAGAAGTCCCATGCACATTAACAATCATTACCCACCAACCCCCACTTCTAGTTCTTGGCAACCACGGATCTACTATGTGTATACAGATTTCCAGTTCTGGGCATTTCATATAAATGGAATCATTGAATGTGTGGCTTTTTGAGTCAGGCTTCTTATAATATCTGTGTAATATTTTTGAGGTTCATTTATATTGTAGCATGCATCAGTACTTCATTTCCTTTAATCATTGAATAATAGTCTCTTATACAGATAAGCTGCATTTTGTTTATCCATTGATTAGCCGATGAACATTTGGGTTGTTTCTACTCTTTGGCTATTATGAATAATGATAGCTGCTATGAATATTCATGTACAAGTTTTTGTATGAACACATATTTTCATTTCTCTTGGGAAATAGAGTGGAACTGCTGGGTCATATGGTAACTCTATATGTTTAACTGAAGAATTGCCAGACAGTTTTCCAAAGGAAGATTTTTTAAGTTTCACCTTTGCACTCTCTATAGATCAGGCATCAGATTACTATTAAAAGCTGGATGGATACATTTGCAATTTTCTCAAGTTGGTATCAGTTCTTTGCAGACAGCCTTGTGTTTCTTTCATGTTCCTTACATTAATACTATGCATGAAAGTAAACACTTAAGATTCAAGAGGCAAGTGAAGGAGGAAAGGAAGGGAAGAAAAAAGGGAAAATTTAAATTCTATAAAATTTAAATGTGTTAATATTTGGCATTATCAAGCTAAACTAATACAAAGATAAGATTAGATTATATTCAGACTTTAAGTATTGGCTTGTTAACCTTACAATATTACCAAATTAAAATTTTATATGTTGTCTGACCTCAGAGTAAAAATTCTCATTATTTTATTAAACTGTCAGAATTAAGTCACTATAAAATAGAAGCACAGATAGGGATATTAGAATGACTCTTTGACCAGATGATTTAATTGTTGTTAAGTGCCATTGAGTGGATTCTGACCCATAGTGACCCTGTATAGGAGTTCTGAGGAGCTGCTGGTGGATTTGAACTGCCAACCCTGCAATTAGCAGTCCACTGCTTATCCTACAGCGCCACACTAAGGCCCTAGATGATTCGATGAGGGGCAGTAAAAAGGAAAATGACAGTAAGAGGAGGGAAAAGAATTGATCAATGTGGAAGCAGAGAGTAAATTAGGACTGAATTTAAACCCTAAACAAGACAGTAAAAATTTTAAATTATACTAAATATACAAGTTTTTTCTAGGTAATAATAAGCCTCATCAAATATCTGTACAACACTTTTTTTAAAGGAAAAAATAAAAATCCCGAGCCTCGCTCTTTTTCCTTCAGCTACACCGCCAAACAATGCTACATCTCCACCTAGTGACATGACAGCACAAAGCTGGCCGAGCACTTCCAAGGCCACCTTACTTATATCAGCAAATGCTAACTAACATCTTTATGCTTAAACACTGCGTTCCTATTCACATTCATCAGATAACTGAGCAATACCCCACTAAATGTGGTATTCCTCATGGTGTTACTTTGCCCAGTAACATGAGATTTTGATAGAATTGTTAAGAAAAAGCACTGTATAAATATGAAATGTGGAGGATGGTGGAGACAAGACAGAAGCAGCCAACTCAAAGATCCAGTATGAATGCTAAAAAAAAACACGAATGAGATTTTTTAAACATCACTATAAATTACACTGTGTCAATGCTGCAATTAAAAATTACATTATGATCCTTGAAACCTTTCAGCGATTCAGAGTAGACTCACATATCCCAAAGTACACTCACATATACCAGCCAGTTAAAAACTCTGGAAATAGTAATAGTAAAGTCTATAGTCCTATAGGAGCTTTGGTAGCGCAGTAGTTACGAGTTGGGCTACTAATCTCACGGTTAGCAGTTCGAAACTACCAGCCATTCCTCAGGAGAAAGATGAGGCTTTCTGCTCCTGTCAAGATTTACAGCCTCGGAAACACAACACAGGGTTGCCATGAGTCGGAACCTACTCTATGGCACATTAGCACCAACCACCACCACCGCAGTCCTATAGTTTCTGATCTATAAATTCCCATTGTATGTCATAATGCCTTGGACACAATACACTGTCTTTCTATCTAAAACCTGTACTGAGTGGGAACCACCAAGATTTTTTAAGCAGTAGACCCTCCCCTCACCTTTCAAGCCAAAGCAAACTGGGAAAGTGGGGAAGGAGAGCCAGAACATAGAAGTACAACCAATCTATTATAGGTTATCCACAACCCTAAAACTTGTGGTCATGGGCAAAAGATGAGCTAACTGAATTCATTTTAGGGGAATTTAGAATTAAGACACTCAGGATAATCAGGCAGGGAAGAAGCCAAAACGACACGCTGAGAGGGACTACAATCTAGGAAGGACTGAAGGAGGGCCCATCATGGCCATCACCAAGCTACAGCAGAGCAGGGCAGCCTACGGAGATGGGGAAATGGAGTGGGCGCAAG